GTTTTGTAAAAATCGACGCGTTTCAAAAAGGCGGGGCATAGAGGAGAAACAATAATGTACAGTATGTGGAAAATAATGTGTTTTTTTAACTTTAAACCGCATAAACACATTTCATTACACCAAATACACAAAATAATGTTCTTTTTAGCAGCATCATATGACCCCTTTAATATATTTCCCTTGAAATATATTGTATGGAAAGCCTGTGTAATTTTGCCTGCATCAGGTTTAATTTACAACATTATTATGAAGCATTATTAGTTGCCATTATAATTCAAGCAAAGTTTAAACAGTTTTAGATAGCTTGTTAGAAAATAATATGCCACTTGCCAGATGCTTCCTATATTGTAGCATGAATATTGTTATTCTACCAGTAGAGGAAGCTGTTCAGCCTACTATGATAAATTCTAACGCTTCCACTTGTAGCACATAAATACATTTCCCAGAGAATAATGATGTTAATAATGTCCAAATTTAATTCATACTTAACATCTTTAATACTGGGGTCCTTAAGAAGATGTAAAAGCATAATATACTGAGATTTAAGACAGACTTTTTTTTGGAGCATTTTAATAAATGGCACCTTGTAATTTGGTCATTATCTTTACAAACACAGCAGTTGTAGCATGTTGTTTCTAGTGCTATTTTAATATAATTTAAATAATATTAGTTTTTATTCATATTTTGAATCAGTATTTGATTTTTATATTTTCCATCATTTAAAATAAGTGTCATTTTTTTGTAGTTATATACATACATATATAATTTGTAGTTTTAGTTGTTTTACTACATAAATGTGAGAGAAATGTTGCCTTGGAAACTAGCTGAAATAAATAGTTGTTTATCATTTATTTTATTTCAGTTAACACTTATTTTATTTCAAGCAACGGAATTAATTTTTTTCGTAATGGTTTTAATTTTTTGTTTTAGTTAACTATAATAACCCTGGTTGTTTCTAACCACTATTCATCATCAAGTAATTTAGATGACATATATATTCAGAGCAAATTACAGTTCATTTAAAGGTAAAATTCACCTCAAATAACCTGAGAGTTAGATCCCCTATTTTTGATTATAAGTTCAACCTTTTGGTTTCCAGATCCATTTATTAAAAGTGCATTCAGTGTGTTTTTTTTTTACACACACACACACACAGTTTTTATTTTATAATTTGGCAACATATTTATCCCACAGGTGGTTACAATTTACAATATTGGAAACAAGTTGCATTGTAATGCACTGCACATTTAAAGGTTAAAAGCAGTCTGAAGCTAAAGAAACAGACCATGCATTGTAATGGTGATTTACTTGTTTAGTATTCACATATCAATTTCACTTATATCTAGGATAGTCAGCTCTATTTTGGGAAAGCAAATGAGTAATCTTCATTTCACACATATCAGTCTCATCCAAAAACTTTGAATGCAAATTCACGCTATAAACCAAAGCCAGCTCATAAAAAATTTAACAGGGAATCTTATTCTCCTGGGCTCCACAAGATGATCAAATATAACCTGCCGTTGCCTGCCAGCGTGCTGCCTGTGACTTGGACTGCATTAAAAATGCATGCGACTCATTCCTCTACTCAGAGTTTCTGGGCCATGAACATGTCACATAGTTACACAGGGACAGGATGGTGCATGAGTTAAGTGGCAGAGACTCTAAACAATGAGCTTATATATTTTTCTGGTGAGAAATTTGACATGCAATATATGTATATGAACATATATATACCATAGATGGTTTAAAGGTCATCTCTCAACATCACAGTTACAGTTCTGGTATATTCTCAACTGTCACTCAAGCTCAACAGAGCTATTTGTGGCAGGGGCAGGGCAGAGTAAAGCCCCGCCCCCAACTAAAGCCTCTCACCTATTCCCTCTCTTTTACATCACTCGTGTTTGGGAGAGAGCTAGATTCACCTTTCATCTGGGCTTTAGCTGACATCACAACACCTGGTGCCTTTGGCTGGTCATCAAGAACAGAACAAACAGAATCTAAGAGAGCGTGGCAAAACGTTGACATTTAACCCAAAATATCAGCAAAATACTGCTGGGAGGATGTAGGTGACAGATCAGGAGAGATACCTGAATCAAAGAAAGTGTCTACAATGGGAGACGGTCAAGAACCTGATATTGAGTTATTTGTCAAGGTAAGGAGAGAAATCTAGCATTTAGAATGAGCTTTAAGGAGTTATAAGGCTCTTATAAAGTCAGTGTAACTCAGTAGCTGTTTTAGAGTAACATGAGCATATTTGACTAAGGTCATGACCAGGTTGTAAGTAGAGTAATGTATAATTGCCAGTAATTCTCGCACATTGGTTTAAATAGATTATTGGTTGCATATAAAGGTGGTATTAAAATAATATACCCTCAGTAATTCTTATTCTGGTGTTTTTGTTAGAAATGCATTGATATAAATCAATCAATAAATACCAACAAGATAATAATAATGTTCATGATATGGTCAGTAACTGATAAATGGCTGAAAATAAAAGTATTTTGTCTAAACAAAACTTTTTAAATATTTGTACTATTTTATACTAATTAAAAATAAAACACCGAAAACTAAAATCAGTCATTTTAAACGGTAAAAGTGTACAGTACTATAATGTACAGTATGAAAAATGGATAATCATCAGATTTCATTTAACAGTGTTATTAAATTTAATTATTAGTGTTTTTAAAGATTTAAGAAGGAAATGAGCATTCACATTCAGCATATATATACAGTAGTCAACATTTGAAGTGGATCAAAACCTTTCATCAAAGTTGTCCTAAAACCAAAACAATACCCATTCTTGTCTTAGGACAACTTTGATGAACTTTTTGATCCACTTCAAAGGTTGACTACTGTATATTCATATAAATATATACAAGTTTCTGTCACCATACACACAAATGCAATACAGTTTTTAAAAGTAATATCTATCATTGCAAACAATGCATGAAACTTACTGGATCTGAATATTATGGGAAAATAGCAGCAACGTATGAAAAGTCTTATAAAGCAAACATACACATACAGTACACTGACAATGACACTACTACATGCTTCTGTTATGATTATATGATTAAAGTGAATGCATTGTTTTCATTGTGTTCCAATGGCAGCCATGCTGAAACAACTTAATTAAAAAAAGAAATGTTAGAAACAAACAAATCCTCTTCCATGCACTAATCTTTCTTTTTAACACTATAAATCCTGAACACAATGCATTGTCAGTCAGTCACACCCTGGTCTGTTTACAGCCCTGAACTGCCGTCCAACAGAGCAACCGGTCCTATAGCAAACGGCCTATTGTCCTGCGCTTTCTAGATTGTAGCTGCTCATTGTTCTGCATCCAGTTCTCTCTCTCTGTTCTGAATTTGCCAGAATGGACAGATGAGTGGAAATGGAAGTGCCCTGACCTTTCACATACCATCTGCCTCATTTATCTGACTGTGTTTTGCAATGTATTTTCTCCCATGATTCTTTTTGAACCATGTAATGAAAACAAACTGTGTTAAAGTAGAAAAGATGCAAAAGAGAAGTATTTTCACTAGTGGACACTGTATACCTATTATATATTTGACAGAATGCTCCTCGTGTTCTTCTTACAACCAGGCCTCCAGTTAATGAATGCAGTGTGCATAATTCATATCATGCTGGGTATTATGTCACAGTGTAAGCTATAGCTGGTCTCGTGATAGTGGTGCCACTGTTTTGGCACACCTGATCTCCTCCACTGCTGAAGCATACAGTAGCAGTGTGAATGTGATTAGCACTGTCACTGACTGATAACCGAGGTCATTTGTACTCTCCATAATGAGGAACTTTGGTGATTATCACTAAATGAGTTAAATTAGAGTAACTGTGTAATCTGTAATACTACTTTTTGAGTAAATGAAAATTATGCATTTCAATTAAGATTTTAAAATGAGCATAAGCACATTTGTTCTTGCTGATTGCCCCAGTTCAGTGATGTCCAGTCTAAAGCAGGGTATTTTAAAAGGGAGACGGCGACCTCGAGGTGGTCAATGATGGAACTGCAGTGGTCTGACAATTATTGATCAGAATATGATTATGAACTAAAAACCTTTTTTTGTTTTGTGTGTGAAAAAATAAAATGTGTTTTAAACAAAAATACAACATGAACAACTTTTTTGAAGCTAGTGTGGCTGTTTCATTGTTTCAAAAATAGACTTCCATACTATTTTTTTCCATGCTATGGAAGTCAATGGCAACCGTCAACTGTTTTGGTTACCCACATTCTTCAAAATATATTCTTTTGTGCTCAATAGAATAAAGAAACTCATATAAATTTGGGACAATTTGAGGGTAAGTAAATGATGACCGTATTTTCAGTTTAAGGTGAACTGATTTAAAGGGGTCATATGATGCGATTTCAATTTTTCCTTTCTCTTTGGAGTGTTACAAGCTCTTGGTGCATAAAGAAGATCTGTAAAGTTGCAAAGACTAAAGTCTCAAATCCAAAGAGATATTCTTTATAAGAGTTAAGAGTCAGCCACACCTACCTAAAACGGCTCGTTCTAACACACCCCCACATACCTACGTCACGATCTCGGAAGATTTGCATAACGCCGCCCAAACGTTCACGCAAAGAAAGAAGCCGTAACTTTTATTCTGGCTGAAGTATTGTTGCTGCCGCCATGATGTGAAGGCGCTGTGTGTTTCGTTGTGAAAGCGAAACTACTTTGTTTGACCTTCCAAAAGAGGACGATATCTGCTTTGTCATGCCTGGAGCTGATCCGTGCTGGTAACTGAGGAAATACATCAACATCGCGCTGTGCATCGCCGGATCGGCTTTCACCGTGGAAGAAGCGGAGTCCAGCCCGGGGTCGTCACATGTAGTTGCCGCAAGCC